TTTTAAATGGGTTTCCTGTATACAGCATATATGGTTGGTCTTGGTTTACTATACCTATTAGTTATTTAGTGATTACTCTATTTGAAATATACACCATTACATTATTTTACCTAATCTTTATTATTTCCTTTCTTCTGCTTACTTTGTTTTTATTTATTCTTTTTAATCTTCATTTATTTATTTTCTTCTGATTTCTTAGAGTGGAAACTGAGGTCATTGTTTTGAGACTTTCCTTCTTGCATAATATAGGCATTTTGGTGCTATAAATTTCCCCCTACATGCTGCTTTAGCTGCGTTTCACACATTTTAATGTGTCATGTTTTTATTTCAGTTAAGTTCAGAATACTTTCTCATTCCTCTTTTGATTTCTTCTTTGATCCATGGATTATTTATAAGTGTGATATTTAGTTCTAAAATATTTGGAGATTTTCCAGATATCTTTTTGCTGTTGATTTCTAATTCATTTCCATTGCAGCCAGAAAATGTACTTTGAATCTTCTCAAATTTAATTGAGACTCATTTTATGGCCTAGAACAGAATATAGTCTAGCTTGTTTAGTGTTATGGGTGCACTTGAAAAGATATGTATTCTACTGCTGGTTGATAGAGTGTTATTGTAATGCCACTAGTTACACCAAGTCAGTTGTTAGTGCTGTTGTTCAAGTATTCAAACCTCTGACTCTAACTTGTCTGTCCTCGCAATTCTATCAGCTTTTGCTTCATGTGTTTGAGAGTGTGTTATCTGGTGCATAAATATTTAGAATTGTTATGTGCTTTTGATGAATTGACCTCTTTATCATATCACTCTTTGTCCTGGTAATATTCATTGCTCTGACATATATCTTGTCTGATATTAATATAGTCCTCCAGATTTTTTTATTAGTGTTAGTATGGCATATCTTTTCTTACTGTTTTACTTTTAATTTACTTATATTTTATATTTAAAGTACATTTTTTTGTAGACACCATAAAACTGAGTCTTGCTATTTTATTGTCTCAATCTTTGCTTTTTATTTGGATGCCTAGATCACTTACATTTAATGTAATTATGGAAATAATAGGATTAAATTTACCATCTTGTTGTTCGTTTTCTATTTCTGTAAGATTTGTCTCTTCTCGTAGTATTCTCTTTCCCTTTTTTTCTGTCTCCTTTTGGATTAATTTAATACTTTTAAAGCATCTATTTTATCTCCTTTTTTGGCATGTTAGCTATAAATCCTTTTAATAGTCATTTCTTATGGGTTTATAGTGTTCATCTTTAAATGTTTGAGAAAGAAGGAGACAGAGCTGTCAGCATAGAGTCCCATGTAGGGTCTGAACCCATGAACCATGAGATCATGACCTGAGCCAAAATCAAGAGTCGGATGCTCAACTGACTGACCACCCAGACATCCCCATAGTGTTCATCTTTAATATACACAGCCTAACTTAAAGTAATATTATACCATGTGTGCTACATATAGTATAAGAACCTTACAACAATTCTAGTTTCATATCTTCCCAACAAATAATCCCAAAAAAATGATAATTGCTCCATTTCAATATCAGTTTTTCAATCCCAGAGAAGATTTGAAGTGGCCTTGCCTGGGTTCCATGATTATCCCTAAACAGATATGGACAGGGCCATGAATATTTGGTTAAACCTGAATTCCTGCAGCAGCCCTTCTAGATCTTCACAGAATTGGGAAGGAGCTCACCAAAAGAACCTAAGAAGAAGAATGCAAAGTGCACTAATTAGACAAAACTTAGAGCTATCATAGACCGCTACAGGCAAACATATCACATTACAGATTGGCAGGTAGAGAATTCTCACGCACTTGCTATAAATTCCCAGTATATTTTGCTAACAGTACTGAACGTGGCCACACAAAGCAGGAGCAAGTGAAGCATTTCTTTATATGACATTTTCCTTCCCCTTGTATCCCCCAGGGCACACAGCCACCAGTGACACTCTGTATTCTTGTCAAGCTGAAAAAGAAGCCAAATATTCCACCACCCTTTTATATTTGACTTTCATCAGCACTCTGGAAAAATTTTTACGAACAATATAAGCACTTCTGTGTAAGGCAGTTTCTCAACCTTGAAACTATTGACATTTTGAACCTGATAATTCTTTGCAGTAAAAGGGGCTGCCCTGTGCATTGTAGGATGTTTACCAGCATCCCTGGACTCTACTCGCTAGATGTCAGTAACTGCCTCCCCAGTTATGACAATAAAAAATTTCTCCAGATAAGGCCCCCAGGGGAACACTACTACTGTTGAGAACCATTGGTTTAAAGGGATGTTTGCAAACATAGGGATCTACAGTTTCTTGACCCCAAATCAGCACCAGCTGATAGGGGAAAAGCAGAATCAACATTATGTACCATCCACCCCTGTTCCATATCCCTGCAAGCCCATCTGCACTTAAGGGACCCTGTCTGTTGTTCCCACTGCAAAAACAGCTCCAGCGCCTGGAAAAGAACAATGCCCAACCACCACCATCGCAGCCGATGTTAAAAGAATAAGCGAGTAAGTGGATGGATTGATGGATGAATGAAAAGAAAACTACAAAGATTATTCAGTGTCATTCTGGGGAAAGGAGTGACACAGATACAGAAGAAAAGGGGATATTTTGTTCTTTCACTAAAAATATCTATATATTAATTTTATCATAATTTTTACTTTCATGATTTAGAAAATGTTAACTGTTTTATTTCTAAACACTTGAAAGTCTAATCAAACATTTTCTCTTTGATAACTATGTTTTTAATTTTCTGGCTTTTTTTTTTTTTAAGTACACATGTGGACTTTAGTTGACCTTTTGAATACTGTATCACCAAGTCCAGAGCTTGATTTCTTTTTCCTTAAACTTATGAGCAAAGAGCCATAATGTGAGTGATTTGTGAATGGGGTTTATGTTGGGAAGAAAATGTACTTAGCACAAAAGTAACCTGAGTCGTCACATTCAGTTATGTTCATTGGGCTTAAGGGCAGGGCTTGGAGTGCAGGCCCCATCACATCTCGAGCCCGACAGAGCTTGGGTGAGTGTGGACCTTCCAGAACTGTATGCTGAGAAAATGGGTGAGATGAAGCTTCATCGGCATGATTCTGGTTACTCCTGTTTTGCTTTGTCAAACTGAGATTTTCTGAGCAGGAGGAGAGGAGGGGGTGGTGAGCTAGGTGCAGTGAATAACCTCCTGAGGGAGGAACAGGTGTTTGGGCCTTTCTGCTTAAGGCAGACAGAAGCCAAAGGGCAAAGGAATAGGGCAGGGAGTGTGGAAGGAAAAAGATAATTTGTGGGGACAGCTGTTGTTTCTGTTTCTCCTCTGCCACCAGCAGGAAGTTGGATCAGATCCTCCCTCTTCAGGGAAAGCAGACACCTGTCCTGCAACAGGGAACCAGCAGAATGAAACTGTCCAGCGCCTGCCCAGTGTGCCACCACCCCACACTCCTGTAGAATTCTTGTCTCTCCCCCTCACTCTATCTGAGAGGGAAAGGCCCAGCCACCTGGGTGTCTTGAGATCCAGGTTCCAGGAACCAGAAGAGCCTGGCTTGCAGAGTGAGGTCATTTATTTACACAATGCAAGTGATGCGCAGAGATGCAGAGCAATCCATCTGCCTTAGCGACCAAACAGATTCCCTTCGCCTCATCCTCCTGCAGAAGCGGTCAAGGCAGGGAGGTTGGGCGAGGTGACCTTCCAGAACTGAATCTTTACTTCTAAAAATAGAAGCATCTTTGGAGACTCGAGGAAGGGAGGGGAGTCTGTGGATGTTGAGGGCAAAACCTGGACTCCCCAGAGCATTGTCAGTATGAAACCGTATTAATTAGACACAGACACCCAGCTCGATAACCTTAGGTATCAAAGAAATGGAAAGTAAATGAACTCGCTTTTTTCCCCCCTTTCTGGTAACTCCTTGGGCTATAAAGGAGAAAGAGAACCATGTCGTCCGACCTATTTGAATGGCTGCACACTGCCTGAGGAGATGTCTTCCCCAGCAAAGGGAAACGGGCTCCTTAGGGACACACTAAGAGAAGGCAAGAGCTACAGCTAAGTGGGAACCCCCAAGACCAGCAGTAGGGGGTCACACCCATTTCTCCCTGTGTAGAGACTACAGAGGGCTCTGTCTGAGGCTGGGCAGGGCCAGGCGAGTATCTGGGTGTGTCCAGGGCTGTGGAGGGCATGCATGGGGTCACGGGTGGCACTCACAGCCTTCTGCAGGGTCCTTGTCTAGAGCCACATAGTAGGGGCAAGGTGTTTCAGGATCCAGTGGAGCCGTGTGTTGGTCTACATACATAGTGCGTGACCAGGTTGTGTGCAGTGCTCTGCTGGGTGGAGGGTTGTTGGCTGAGTGTGTATGTGTGCACATGCATGCACTTGTGTGTGTTTTGGGATGGGGGTATTTGCAGGAGTGTGTGCAAGTATGACAGCAATCCTGAGGGGACTGGGTAGGGGAGTGTGTAGGGCTGTAAGGGAAGGAGGCATACAGATGGTGGCTATTTGGAGACTTTGCCCTCATGTGGGGCCTGTGGGGAAGACTATGGGGGAAGGGCTATACGAAACGGAGAGGCTGTGTGGGGCTGTGTGTGGAGCACGTCTGCGCCGCTGGTGGGGCTTTGCAGTCCTAAGGAGCACCTCTTTGGGTAGCTTTGTCCTGGGGGGGGCCCTGGGGGATTGTGGTGGGAATATGAATGGAACCACATGGGAAATAGCCAAGGCTCTGGGGGCTTCATTCCTGGGGGCTGTGCAGGGCCGCAAGTGGCTAGATAGAGGGTGAGGCCCTGGACGGCCTCCACAGCTTTGCCATCTGAGGACAGGCTATACTTCCTTAGGGTCTGGGGCTCCCAAAGTCCAGGCATTTGTTCTCCTCCTTGTGGTCGACGTGAAGCGAGACATAGCAGGGATTCACAAGATGAGCCGAGGACCAGTGGTGTCCCTTCCAATGCTGTCCTGCAGCTGGTCCTTATGCGTGCCAGGCTGAGGACAGTTTCCAATGAGTCCGCTTGTGCTTTCTCAACAGGACAATGTGGATCTTGGAGAGCTGATGTTTTCCCTCTGCTACCTTCCAACTGCTGGCAGGCTGACCATCACCATTATAAAAGCGAGGAATTTAAAGGCAATGGACATAACAGGAGCATCAGGTGGGACATTCTCAAATTCAGACTTCCTCCCATGGTTCTAATGTAGTATTTATGAAGTCTCTAATAGAGTAATAAGGTGCATAAAACCAAACTACCTAGGTTTAATTCCTCTCCTAGACCTCATGGCTGTATGACTTTGGGCAAGTCCCTTAACCTGTCTGAGCTTCAGATTCCCCATCTGTAAAATGAGGCTAATAATAGTATCTGGCTCATTGGGTTATCATAAGATTAAATAAGTTAGTGCATATAATGTCATAAAACAGTACCTGGCACATATGAAATGCTACCTAATGGGAATAGTCATTATTCTCTTGTATGTCTTCTTCACCATAGTTGTGAACTGGACCTACAGTTTACACATGCTGACACAGCTTATCTAATTGGGTCTTTCTTCAGATACAAGTAATCACCATCTCAGGCCTATGGAAGATTGAAAACAATCATATATCCTCCTACAAGGCCTGTCAATGAACTATGCAGTTTGGTATTCTAACCATATTCTAAACCATAACAAGAAAGCCCTGATATGCAGGTCCTACTGTACACATTCCCAAGCAACTTCTTCAGGGGCTCCCAAAATGTGGTCATAGAACACCCAGTCCACTGGCTGTTGATCACAGAAATCAATGGACATCAGATGCAGTATATTCTGCTTACTTACTGGCCTCCAGTATTTTTCCAAGAGAAAAAAAGATGTGGCCCCTTCTGGCCTTTCAGTGCCTCCTGGACAGTGTATGGGGAGTCAGGGAAACACGTGGTTGTGCAGGCAAGGAGAGAAAGAGAAGTCCCCATGGAGCAGAAGGATAGTGAGGTAGAACCAGAGAAGTCCCACCTGAAGCAGAGACCAACCTTGTCACCTGTCACCCTATGCCAAGGTCATGCCATAAGCAAGCTTTGTCCTTTCCCTGCTGTGCTGAACTGCTTCCCCCTTTGCAACCCAACTTCAGGCAGCTCTGGGGCTTGAAGCCCCTGTACTCCCCAAAGCTGTCCCTGTCATCTAGGCATTCTATCTGTCCCTTTCCTAAAGACCTGATGTTTAAGAAGAAACTGTCTGGGGTGGTTCAGAGTCGGGGCCTTCAGCCCATTTTTCCTGCCTTGGAAATACCTTTGTATCTCTCCCCATTGCAGCCAGGCAAGTCTGGAATTCTAGCTGGAACATTTTCTAATTTGGTAACAGATATTTTCACACTATTTTTAAATTCCACACACTTTGAGGAGACAGTGTCCTGTGCTTTTTCTTGAATGAATGTCTTAATTATCCTAACTGTAGTCACTGCCCAGGCATCTTATTAATTAAAATCCTCAAACTCCAGCCCACAGGCAGGTAAGGGAGTTCTGCATCCCGTAGTCCGTGGAACTCCACAGTGATGGAACTGCCCCCTACATCCACATTTATCCTCTCAGTACCCCCACTTCTCATGGTTGTACAGATCCCTACGTGAAAGTGTCACTGATGTGTGATGGCAGACGACTGAAGAAGAGGAAAACATCCACCAAGAGGAACACTCTGAATCCCGTTTACAACGAAGCCATAGTCTTTGACGTCCCTCCCGAGAACATTGACCAAATCCACTTGTCCATAGCCGTCATGGACTATGACCGGTGAGATACCTGGAGCTTTTTCTCAGGGCGGAAAATGTCTCTTGTGCCCAGGACAGGGAGGGAAGAGGGGGAGTGCGGCCACATGTTCTTAGCTGGTGTCCCAGGCTGCAGGAAATGAGTCAAATGGACACCCCGGGAAAGCTGACTGACAAGGAGTCGCCATTTTCCAAACCATGCTTTAGAGTTATATTACCCAAGTGCCTCTTTGCTCTCCACGTTTTTATTTCTTTCTCCTTCCCCATCCTCCCCTCCTCCCCACCTCATCCCCTTTCCATTCCTGCATACTCCCCAGAATCTCAGCTTGGAAAAACCTGGTTCTGCAGGTCTTAATCTTCTCCTGCGCAATCCTGCCTGGCCTTCGTGGGAAGATTCCACTCAAAATAGCAGAGTGATTACTTTAGCCACACCATCAACATTTCTAAATACATAACTCTGTTATTTTTTCCCTTCTCCAAGTGTGTTTAATAAAGATCATTTCCATCCACTTAAGTCTGAAAGCAAACAGAAATGTTCTCTTGAAAATGCTAGAATCAGTATGGATGACAGGGTACATTAAAATGTATAAGATGCTCGACTTTCTAATTAATACAGCACAGAAGAGATATTTATAGCCTGCATTGTAGCCAATTGTGTATTTAAAGGACAGATTTGAAAAACAGTCATTTTAATATGCAAAGGAAGTACCAACAGGGAATTAGACATGTTAAACCAGTCATTGGACTGAAATGCAGAGTCTCTTTTTAATTGGAAACCTCCCACGTGGTCTGGGCACAAGTATAAAAAAAAAATCATTCTGACTTCTAATATAATCTTACAAATATTATTTGTAGCTGAAAATTTTCCCACATACCCCTGAAATGTCACTAAGGCAGCATCAGTGCCCTGAACACCCTTTCTAGCAGATGCCTAGGTGAAACAGAACTGTCTTCTAGCTCAGGGAACACATGGGTTGGCTCAGCTGCCCATGGGTGTGACAGCCCACATGGAGCAATAAACCTTATCTTGTCTTCTCTGGACGAAACACAGCACCAGTAGTGTCAGGTCACAAGAGGGGACGTTGCCCACCAACCGTGGAAATCTAGGCCAGCTTTTTTCAAGCGATTGCCAAGATTCCCACATCAACAAATCTGATTATATGAGCTCTGCTTCAATTCAATTCTCAGTAAACTCATGAATCTGCCTGGAAAAATCCATGGCAGAATTCATGGGGCTTCTGCACACAACTGATTTTAATGAGCACAGACTCAAATGTCCTTCACACTCCCCCACCCGTGTCTTGCCATTACTCCCTACATACAAATAGGAGAAAAATTACTCATCTTTGCAGGAAGGAAAACAACAGAAAGTCCATGAGCTCGGATCCTAAAGAGTTAAAGGATGGGTCATATCATTCTAGTTACACAGGCGACTTCTAACCAGAAACTGCTAAGGGGAAAGATTGCCCCAAGGCAGGCACCTACCCAGGGAAAGTTTCAGAAATATTAGCCCTAAAGTTAAAGGAGCTAAGTATCTTTCTACAGTAGGGAAATCAAGTTGGGTCAAAGAAACAAAGGTGGGCTTGGAAGGAAGGAGGGGAGAGTGGGAGAACACACATTCCCTGAAGAGAGGGGTTGCAAGGAGACTCAGGAAGTATCCCCACCCTGCCCCCTTTGTAAGCTCCAGACTATGGCTGCCCTACCCAATACTTCTCTTTTACACATACTTGGTTGCCTCTTATAGGAATTTGAGCAGCCATTAATGCAAGGAACTCCTTTCAGATGGCCTCCTTTTCATTACATAGGTTTGAAGACCTGGAGGTCAGCCTCATTCTAGAACCAGAGTTGTCATCCCTAGCATGCATCAGGAACAAGCTAAGCCATGCCAGTGTTACAAAAGCTCAGGTGTGTGACAGCTAACCTCTGCTCTTCCTCTCTGTGCCACCAAGTACCATCTTGGATCCCAAGTTCTATTGGCTTTTAAGCTTGTCCTGTAGTTTTAAATTAAGGAATGAAAAGAACCACCCCTTGCCTAATTCCTCTCGGTTTGAGTAGTTGTTGCTCTTACATACCAAAATTTTAAGAAAAAGTTATTGTGGGCCGTTTTCACAGTGTAGGTCATAATGAGATCATCGGCGTGTGTCAAGTAGGCAACGAAGCCGAGAGGCTGGGCAGAGACCACTGGAGTGAGATGTTGTCGTATCCTCGGAAGCCCATTGCACACTGGCATTCCCTGGTGGAGGTAAGACCCTACTCCCACATGCTCCACTTTGTGGAAGAATAAATGCTTTACTGTTGAAATGCAGAAGACACCAAGAGTGTGAGTGTACCGGGGTCTACAGTCACTGATGGGTTTCTCTGGTTGCCTTTTCTGAGGCCGTTGGAAATTGCATTCAGTCTGAGGTTGAGTCTGTGCTCCCCCTCTGTCTAGTGGGTTTTGGACATTGATCACTCATCCCTCACTTTGATTGTCTTCAAGAATGACTAAGATTCTCTGATTCCATGTCATGGCTTTGGGTTGACATTTGGAAGGTGTCTACAGGATCCAGATGAGTGTGGAATTTCAGGTCGCCATATAGTGACTTATGTGTAGCATCAGAAAGAACCTGAGACTAGGAGAGAGGAGGCCTGGATTCCAGGACCGGCTGTAGCATTAACCTGTGATTCTGGACAAGCTGTTTAATATCAGATTCAACTACATGTGATAAAAATGCACAAAACAACAAATGAAATAGAAATTTATATCTCTCTTACATAAAAAAAGGTCCAAAAGAAGGTAGCCTAGTGGCTCTGTGATTACAATAGAGAACTAGACTTCTGTCTTTCTGCTTCACTGTCCCAGTGTGGGGTTTTTTTGAGGTCACCTCATTGAACAACATGGCTGCTAAGCTCCAACATATCTTTTCAGGTCATCCAAAGGTAGAAAGAGGCAAGATCCAAAAGCACACACATTCTCTTTCAAAGGAGTTTCTTTGATGTCTCATGTGACACATCTACTTATATTTAACTTAGTCACAGAGTTTAGTCGCATGGACACATGTGGGAAATGTATTCTTTTACTGGGTGTAAATAGTCCCAACTAAAAACCGGGGTTTGTGTGCAGGGAAGAAGAGATGAGTGAATACTTGCATCCAGTGGGCCATCATTCTGCTTCACACCTTCATTCATTCATTTACCAACCCCCATCATTTACTTCTCATTCATGCTTCCCCCATCCATCTTTGCTCATTGACACCCTCTCTTATTTATGTGCTAACTCATTCTTTCAAAAACAAATTGCATTTACTAGGTATCACCTGTGAGATCCAAATGCCATATTAGGTAAAGAGAATAGATGTGAATAAGAAACCATCCTGTGAAGAGTTTGTAGACCACAAAAGAGACAGAAGAAGGCATGCAAACTAACCACTAAAATGCACAGTCATGAGCCTTAACATCCATATCAGGTGCTACAGGAGCACAAAGGTGGCAGGTGAGACTGTCCAGGAAAGCATTTTCCCTCCTGCTCTTGGTTAAGTGATGGGAAGTAAGCCCCTGGAAAACGGGACTCCAGGAAGCATGGGTTCCAGGCAGAGAACTTTCCTCTTATTCTTCCAGTACAGGCAGCTCTACTCCCAGCAAAGCCATCCTGAGAGGCCAAGACAAAACCTCAGTGGTGTGGGTTCCGTTGCCATCAAGATTCAGGAGAATCGGGTCGAGGCAGACCTGGGGAGGCAGAGGGCCCTGGGGAGGAAGGGACAGTCTTCCTTTGTTGGAGATGGTGCCTGAGGGAGAAGACCGGCATAGAACCTGTGGACTGATTCTAAGCTTCAGGGCCTGGGGTGTATTCAAGCAGCACCTAAGGCCCCCTAATTTATAGGTCCCCAAGGATATCTCTGCCCCTGGGCCAGTGAAGTTAAGACTCGTTCTTTTCTGGACTCAAAATTAATCCCTGAGGGAGACCCACGGCCCCCTGAATCACCTGAGAAGTAGCTGCAAGTCAGATGCTAACCCAACTGCCCCTCACTTCTTCAGCTCCTGGGGGAGCCCTCAAAGGAGTCCATGTGAGGGCTCATTATACTGCCTGAGTCTGTCAGTACCAGTGACCATCAGAGCAGTGGTAATAGACTTTTTGTACCCTTCAGTCACAGCTGACTTTAATTCTTGTTTGTAATCAGGAGTGTCACAGAATGTCACAGAGCTCTCTGCCTCTCAGGTCCCAGGATGGGAAAGGAGTAAAGTTTAGGGATGTGGTGTGGGGCTGAGACAGGAGCCCCTGTTTGGTGCACAGCAGCTCCTTCTCAGTGCCCTTGCCGGGGAGTGAGGACAGGTGGTGTATTGTGCACGGGACCCTGAGTGGCGGTGCATGCATGGTACCCAACGGGGAGCGTGGAAAGTGGGCCTTGGAGACTTCTTTTCACTCCTGAGGAAAAAGCACTGTCTGACTTTGCTCGCTTGGGAGATGGTCCCTAAACCCTGGGCACTTGACTTTTTGCAAATAAGGGTATGATAGCCATGTAAGTGAGAAATCAGTGTTTTTAGGGTTAAACCACCGAAACTTGGGAGTCGTGTGTTGCAGCAGCTAGAATGACTTCAGCTGGTACAACAGTGGTCTCTTAACTGCTGCCCCAGAATGACGTGCCTGCACACCTTTGTGAGGGGCAAGTGAAGAGGGGGCCATCTCTGCCCCGTTGCTTCCTGTCTCTTTGAAGTATGCGCCCAGGACCCCACATCCATCCGAAGAGTGGAAGCGGTACTTTCCCTTTTAAAAATAAACGTGCAGCCAAAAGAATCGGGGCACTGGTACGAGATGAGATGAAAAGCAGGATTGGAGAGGTCATTGCGCTTTGCTGACAGCTGTAAGGAAGGAGGGAACTGGACTCAGAGCCGTTGGTCAGAGGCACTCACTGTGGAGTTGGATGGACCTAGAGTCAGATCCCAGTGCTGCCACTCACAAGTTGTTCCTCCCTTTCTGAATCTCAGTGTTCTCCTCTGCAAAGTGGCCCCTAACAGCACCTGTCTCCCAAGGGTGGTTGTGAGGATCAGACAGTGAAGCCACAGCGGCTGTAGACGCTCAGGGAGGTTCTCTGTTACGGTCAGTACTATGTATGCCCCGCATGGTAAGGGGCTGCCGTGTGTCCTCATGGAACCCTCAGCCATCATGTTTGCCATGGAGGATAAAAGGAAGGCTGGAAATCCCACCCCCTGCAACCTCAGACGGGGGGAAGGGGCTAGACGTAGATGCATGCCCTTAAGTTCTGATTCTTCTCCTCTCCTCTTACACTGTCTGAGAACCTTTAGATTTTCTGCGTAAAAGCAAAAACGGCAATTAAGTCCCAGTTCTGTGTGTGTTTGCGTATGTGTGCGTGTGTGTGTGTGTACATAAGCATGTGTGTATACGTGAATGAGAGAAAGGCAGAGAGAGATTATGGGGTAGTTAGGATTTAGTATAAAGGGAGTCTGGCCTGGCAGAAGCTCTTCACCGCTGGGGGCTGAGGGACCAGGTTAAGACTGAACCCTGAACCCTGCAGAGATTTGGCAGCGGGCTCGGGCGGGGCTGCATCCAACACACCCTGACCTTGCCAGGGCAGATGGCAGATGGAGTCTTCAAAGGCAATGAGTCCAGAAATCCATTTCTCTCTCAGGGTTTCTGGATGGCTTCACTGCACACTCAAAGGTCAGCCAATACAGCTCCCTTCACTCTCCATGATGTTAAAGGCTTGGGAAGCTGTGCAGACTCCCCTAGAGCCAGCTGCCTGGGACTCGGGGACAGGAATATCCCTTCCAGGGGGCCTCGGGAGGTAGTAGAACTCTTGGAGCTCCCACTACAGCACCCCCCCTTTGATATCCTGGAGAAGATGGTGTTGGCCTGGTCACAGCCCAGCACCCTTCCCACCCTTCTGGAGTGGAGCTGGCCTACATCATGAACCCCGGCGAGAATAATAACAATAGTCCCTGGTTTTCATCACTTTCCCCCCGTAGTGCTGCATAACCTCTGCATTAACAAGCAGTGAACTGGTGTAATGGGAAGACCGGACACAGACACCATTTGGTTAAATAAAATTTTACTTCTCTAAAAGAGAGAGAAGAGAGAATATCTAATCAGAATGTATAATGAAGATCAGCAACATTATCCTGACGGGCGGCGATACAAGATTCTAAACCCCAGAGTCCTATTCACGTTGTGCTTAGGTGTGGATAAGTCTCCTCTCTCTAAGCTCAGCCTTTCCTATGTGTGTGTATATACAAAGGGGTTCTGCACTCACTTGGTCTGGTGGTCCGCAGGGCCACCTCACTGAGCCCAGTGCCCCCTACAACTCAAGAGTTATGCAGTTCCCGGCATAACTCAGGGACAAGTGTGGCCCAGTATGACCAGAGTACTCACCTACCACCCTCTGGAACCTCTTGAAGGTGTAAGCTTACAGCTGTAGAACGACAGCAAGCATCAGTTATCCAGACGCCACTGGGAGTTACACGACCAGTTCTAGATAGTGGCCATCAACTGCCCCGCAGAACCTGCCTGAAGTCTTCGAGGTACACACATTCCCGGGAGAAGGCATCCAATTGCTCCGGTTGGGTTAGGTGTCTTCCCCTGCCCCAGGGGTCATTGCAGTGTGAGCCAGTGCTCCTTCCAGCTTCCTGAGAAGGGCCCAGGCAGGATGGAGACGTTGACGCAGGCGAAACGCAGTGCTACCCAGATTTTGAAGTGAGGGACTCAGAGGCTTTAGCACTTTGGGCAAATTGTTATTTACAAGAGACTGAAGAAACAAAAGTGATTCTCCACAACGGGGAGGGGTTGGCTAGAAAGAACCAAGCAGGTGATGAGGTTCCCATCAGAGGACTTGGCGTCTATTGCAGGACGTGGGCCCAGGTGAGGACTAGACTAGCAGAGAAGGAAACTGAGACTGGGTAGGGGAAAGTGTGGAGTCAAGGACAGGACAGGGAGAGCCCTGGAAAGTGCTGCCACACAGAAGCAGGATGTACCTGAGGTGCCTACAGCACCCCCATTGCTGGTCTTTGGAAATACCGTGAATTCAGTTCTGATAAGTAAGGGATGAACTGAGGCTGGCGATCACATGCTTTGCCCTGTGAAGGGGTAGCCCAAGAACTGGGTCATTGAGCTGAGCATAAGCCTAATGTGTGTGTCAGCAGATAGTGATGGAGGAAATGAGGAGTCTGTACCTGGAGGGCCACATGCTATCACAGTATCTTCTGCATGTGGTGACACACACACCCCCCCCCCCCCCCCCCACTCCAAATATGATCCAACAGAAGATCTCAGTGCCTCAGACAACAAAATGCTTGGCCTGGATGGGAACCGAGAGAACCAGAAGCACTTGAAGTACATTAAAATAGTGTAAGAAAATGTAAATTTCTTCATTATCTAAAATGAATACCATCCTGGGGCGCCTGGGTGGCGCAGTCGGTTAAGGGTCCGACTTCAGCCAGGTCACGATCTCGCGGTCCGTGAGTTCGAGCCCCGCGTCAGGCTCTGGGCTGATGGCTCGGAGCCTGGAGCCTGTTTCCGATTCTGTGTCTCCCTCTCTCTCTGCCCCTCCCCCGTTCATGCTCTGTCTCTCTCTGTCCCAAAAATAAATAAACGTTGGAAAAAAAAAAAAAAAATTTAAAATGAATACCATCCTGGTAAAGAACAGGAAGGGGAAAAAAAACTTGATCTTGCTAATTAATGATTTCTGGTCTCTTCTAGGTTATCTTGGTTTCTCTGGCATAAATATTTAGTCAAATATAATGCTTAAATTCTCTACCAGAGCTATTTCCCTTCTTTCTAGAAGTCTCCTCTCCTTCTTCCTTCCTAAGCTGCCATCCAGGTGTAGTAGGGAAGCCTAAAGGCCTTGTGACAGGAGTGGACTGCATGCTTTCACCTGACAGGGGACATTTTCCTTCTTGTCTCTGGCCATCAGATGCCACACTGTCTCTGCCTGTGCTGAGGGTCCCTGCTGATGTAACTTGCTACCTGTCCTCACAGAACAAGCCCAAGCCAGGCCTGATTACTCTGTGGGAGCTCGGCCTCTTTGAGGCTGGCCAAACCTGAATGTGGCTGTTGCCAGCCCTGAAGATCTCTGAGGTCTGACAGCATCTCTCACTTGATGCCTGGCCTAGGAGGTTTTTGCACCCCTTGGTATGGGGTCACTTCCACACTTGCCGGAACCCCTGGAACCCTGTCAGCCAATAGTCCCCTCCTTTCCACACCCTCCAAACATCAGAGACACATAGGAGCTTCAGGGGACTTGATGACAGTATAGACACCCTCTGCATGTCCATTGAGTTACATGGCCTTTTTTTTTTTAAGATTTTATTTTTAAGTAGGTTCCATGCCCAACATGGGGCTCGAACTCACAACCTCAAGATCAAGAGTCACACTGTCTACCCACTGAGCCAGCCAGGTGCCCCACATGGCCATTTCTACGTTGTTCCTCTGGCCTCATGTTGGTAGAGCGACACATCCACCTTCAGCTTCCTCCTCAATCCACCTGAAATTTGGGATTTTAGGCCTGAGGGGTGAAACCAGGACCTCACAGGAGATCCTGTCTTCCCCTCTCCCTGTCTCTTCTGCCAAAGCTCTCTACTTCCTCCTCCCAGCTGGAAGAATCTTCTGTAACTGAACTAATGTGAGTTTGCTCCTTGGTGAGTTACAGGTAGATACCACACGAGGGGGAGTTTTCACAGAAAGGAAACTTTGTTTTGCAGCCAGTAAGGAGATCATAGGGAATACTTCCAAAGTCGTGACCACCCCCCATCCCAAGCAAGGATGAGTAGGTTCTTTTTAT